GGTGGACCTCGACGATGGAATTTCCGATACAAGGAGCAAACACTTGTGCCATTCCAATTCAGTTTAAATATCTGACTGTGTGCACTGCATCGTTTCTGTGACCGGATGGGTAAAATCGCCGTTATCCTTTCCTGGGGCCTACTCACATCAGTCGCATTTTGTTGTTTGCGAGTTCGCTAAACCGGAAAATTACTCGACTGGCCGAGCACACAGCGGTGGTGAGGAAGAAATACACTAACTCCCAGGTTGCAGCTCATTCGAGGGTTCCGGCCATATTTTCAAATTTAAAGAGGCCGAAATCCTCGCAAGAGGTGACAACCGCGGGAGGCGCGAGCGGCTGGAGTCATGTTTCTCAGGCCCACAGTCCATCAACAAGCACAGTTATTTGCCGTTCCCATACCGCGTACTGAGACATAGCCTGAGCAAGTGAATCACTTACGTGGGAAGGGCCGGGCCCAGCAATAACTCTGACGACAGCGAGCATAATTGTCTCTCATTTTTCAGGCCCGCGTCCGACACGGACAACGATATCGCGGCAATTAATGGGTCGAAAGTGAAGGGTCAAGCTTTCACCGGACCAATTAAGACCCCAAGCGGTGGCTACAGGAGCTGACAATTATAATACGCACGAGGATGATCGCTACGAACTATGAATACCGTGCAATCTGTGCATGTATCGCCTCCTTCTGCGCATGTCTTACAGTATCCTACGATTACCTATGATTAAGGATTCTCGACAGAATCCGAAACTTTAGGAAAATAAAATTCTCGTTCCAGTGATCGCATCTTCTTCTGAACTGCCTCCTGGAACTCGCATATTTACTTCTATCGGGAGTTGAGAGGTTTTATGTGTTGTAGGGATAGAAGATTTTGTGGATTTGTTCAGACGTGCTCATTTATCTGGAAAATATTTCTGTCTGACATAAAGCCCTTATTAGGCATTTTACCGTAAGAATAAAGAGAATTCAGGATGGCCATTTATGCCTTATTAGGCGTCGTCCGCTGGATATACTCTACTCAAGTGTAGCAGCAGAAATTGCCGCCACCCTCGAGTTTCGAACCCGCGTCTCTCCGGTTAGGGGCAAATGCCCTATCCATTGAACTATCGGGCTCGACGTCTTGACGGTTGTTGACCGACCATCTACTAATGTATGGTAGTGTACGCCTACCTACTAATACACCACTTGGTTGAACGGGTAGTTGTAGGTTTTTTGAGCACGCTGCCATGACAACTTACTTTGTCAACAAATGAAACTGCCACCCGGTTTCTTTGCGCGTACTTAAATAGTGGCGACAGCGGGCCTTGATCTTCAAAATGGCAACCCATTGTTCCCTAATTATGGTCTTAGTGTGTTCTTTTTGTTGTCAAAATGCCGTAATATAGCGGCGAACTGCCATTTTTCATTATCAAAGGCGGACAGTGGATCAAGCGCGTAAAGGGACCGTTGAGCCCTCCGGCTATTCCAAAGAGCCTTTGGTTTATTGGAGGGTAGACTATTACTGACTGGATTTCCTCATAAACGTAAACAGGCCTTTAATTCTCCTCTACGCTTTAAGAGTCTCCTTTTTAATCGGCAGGGTACAAACCACACTGTACGGGCTTTACTTGTTTTGATTGTGAAGTGAATACTTTTTGGCATAGTTCGCCTATCACATACGACTGTCCCCGCGGAGGGGGAAGGGGGGCGGGCGGTGCATGTAGTTCCTTCGTCCAGTTGGAGTTATGCAAGCAA